TTCATATTGGGGAAGGATGTAAAAAGTTAAATCTTGACACCACTGATGGACTTATTAAATGTAAAATACTACCACCAAATTTGCTGTTTCACCCAGTCCTACCTCTGAAAATAAATGACAAGTTGATGTTTGTACTTTGTCGCACATGCGCCGAAACTTTAAACCAGGGGGACTGTGAACATAGTGACGATGGGCGGTCGTTAACAGGTACCTGGGTAATCGATGAAGTGAAAAAAGCTATTGAAAAAGGTTACAAAGTATTGGAAACGTATGAAATATGGCAGTACGCAACTGATCAGTACGATAAACGTAGTAAAACCGGTGGGTTATTTAATGAATATATCAACAAATTTTTGGGTATTAAACAGCAAAGTTCTGGGTGGCCATCAGGTTGCGATACTCCTGAAAAGAAGGATAAATATGTTAATGATTACTTTGAGACGGAAGGTGTTACGCTTGACCCGAATAAAATAGAAAAAAATCCAGGTTTGAGACAATTAGGGAAGGCTGTAATTACATCGTTTTGGGGTAAACTCGGTCAACGCGAGAACCAAAGTAAAACCACCATAGTTAAGCAACCTGGGGAGTTTTATAGTATGATGACCAATCCTTCAATGGATATCAATTCTGTTTTACCAGTTAATGAAGACACGCTACTAGTAAACTGGGAATTTAAAGAAGAGACGTATAATCCCTTATCGACTGTAAATGTCGTTCTTGCCGCTTACACTACGGCCCATGCTCGCTTAAAGCTATACGAGTATTTGGAGAGGTTGGAAGAAAGAGTTCTCTATTATGATACGGATTCGATAATCTACGTATCAGCTCCCGGGCAGTACGAACCACCCTTAGGGCAGTATTTGGGCGAGTTGACTGACGAGTTAGAAGAAGAAGGTGTCGGAAGTTACATTAAGGAGTTTGTATCAGGTGGTCCAAAGAATTATGCCTACAAGGCGTGGTCCAGTTCTAAACAATGCGATGTAACTGTATGTAAAGTCAAAGGGATATCTTTGACATACAAAACCTCACAACTAATTAATTTCGACAAAATAAGAGATATGGTCCTAGAAAAAGAAGAAACGGAACCTATTCTCGTATCATCTAAACTTATAACCCGAACGGCGGAACACAATGTACTAACAATGAACACCTCTAAACTGTACCGGCTAAACTCTACAAAGAGATGTTTCTCATCCATAGATGGTTCTTCCCGTCCATACGGATTTAAGAAGCTTAGGTTAAGTGAACATTGAAAAAATTATAAATTTACAAATGTATTACTTATTTGTAAAGTGTATGATACAGTAATTTTTTATAAGGTATAATTTTATTACCAGACTATAAGTTAAGCAGAACCTATTGTAAATAGCAAACTATTGACTATCGTGCGAAAATGTAACTTGATGTTAAATAAACTTATTTTCCCATATATCGTTGTCTTTTCTTTTTCTACTCTAAATTATGAAGTGAAGAGACCTTTTTTGTTTAAACTCTTTCCTGCGAAATACTTAACGTTGTTAGGTACCCGAGTAATGATCTAAACGGACAACTTACAATCAACATCTTAAAGCACAGTGGCGTATTGGTTGATAGAGACACTTCACATAATCACAAAGGGGTCTGCATAAAGAGGTATGATTGTTTGGAGTTACACGTCGGTCAGTGCATTTTAATCCTCTACCTAACCTAGCGACGATAAAGAACCTTTTCGCTGTTTGACAATTTGACATTAATATTAAGGCTATTAAAACTTTGTCCGACTGAAAAATAAAACAACCTATACCGAGTTTAACATAGATTATGACTATAAAGTTTGGTCATTATCGAGGAAAGCATCTCATAAATAGGAATTTCATAGGGCTTCGACTGACGACTATGAAGTACTCCGTATATTGATTTTTAACGTAGAAAAAATTCCGAGCATAACGAATTGTTTCACGATTTACATATTAGATAGAATTGTTGTCTTCACTGTGAAGACCGTAGATCGCAGGCTGGATAGGATTTTCGATAGTAAAACAGTTTCATTTAGACAGATTCCTTTTAGTACAGAGCCACTAGGTTGTGTTGTTTTGAGCATGCGCACTGGAATATATTTACACATAACGAAAACGTTCAAGACACAACGCTCACGGTGGAAATTTTGTGTGTGGGTATTTTATTTTAGCCATTGTTGTACCTACCATCTGCACGTGCTCAGTAGGCTGCTTAATGCTATTGATATTTAAAGTGACCTGGCGCATGCTGGTGATCACTTTACATGGTACTTTGACCAGGATTGCGAGGTCATACTTCAGCAGATGGTCCGGGGTGTAGAGCGATCCCAACGTGAACGCGAACCCAAACGTAAACGTGGACCCGAACGTGAACGTGAACCCAACGCGAACGTGACCCCAAACGTCACGTGAACGCGAACCCCAACGCGAACGTGAACGAGTTCATGTGTTTTGTTTAGTGAAGTCAATACAAAAGGTCCGTTATAGGTTAGGTTGGAATGGGCGCGCCCATTCCAACCTAACCTATAACGGACCTTTTGTATTGACTTCACTAAACAAAACACATGAACTCGTTCACGTTCGCGTTGGGGTTCGCGTTCACGTGACGTTTGGGGTCACGTTCGCGTTGGGTTCACGTTCACGTTCGGGTCCACGTTTACGTTTGGGTTCGCGTTCACGTTGGGATCGCTCTACACCCCGGACCATCTGCTGAAGTATGACCTCGCAATCCTGGTCAAAGTACCATGTAAAGTGATCACCAGCATGCGCCAGGTCACTTTAAATATCAATAGCATTAAGCAGCCTACTGAGCACGTGCAGATGGTAGGTACAACAATGGCTAAAATAAAATACCCACACACAAAATTTCCACCGTGAGCGTTGTGTCTTGAACGTTTTCGTTATGTGTAAATATATTCCAGTGCGCATGCTCAAAACAACACAACCTAGTGGCTCTGTACTAAAAGGAATCTGTCTAAATGAAACTGTTTTACTATCGAAAATCCTATCCAGCCTGCGATCTACGGTCTTCACAGTGAAGACAACAATTCTATCTAATATGTAAATCGTGAAACAATTCGTTATGCTCGGAATTTTTTCTACGTTAAAAATCAATATACGGAGTACTTCATAGTCGTCAGTCGAAGCCCTATGAAATTCCTATTTATGAGATGCTTTCCTCGATAATGACCAAACTTTATACTCATAATCTATGTTAAACTCGGTATAGGTTGTTTTATTTTTCAGTCGGACAAAGTTTTAATAGCCTTAATATTAATGTCAAATTGTCAAACAGCGAAAAGGTTCTTTATCGTCGCTAGGTTAGGTAGAGGATTAAAATGCACTGACCGACGTGTAACTCCAAACAATCATACCTCTTTATGCAGACCCCTTTGTGATTATGTGAAGTGTCTCTATCAACCAATACGCCACTGTGCTTTAAGATGTTGATTGTAAGTTGTCCGTTTAGATCATTACTCGGGTACCTAACAACGTTAAGTATTTCGCAGGAAAGAGTTTAAACAAAAAAAGGTCTCTTCACTTCATAATTTAGAGTAGAAAAAGAAAAGACAACGATATATGGGAAAATAAGTTTATTTAACATCAAGTTACATTTTCGCACGATAGTCAATAGTTTGCTATTTACAATAGGTTCTGCTTAACTTATAGTCTGGTAATAAAATTATACCTTATAAAAAATTACTGTATCATACACTTTACAAATAAGTAATACATTTGTAAATTTATAATTTTTTCAATGTTCACTTAACCTAAGCTTCTTAAATCCGTATGGACGGGAAGAACCATCTATGGATGAGAAACATCTCTTTGTAGAGTTTAGCCGGTACAGTTTAGAGGTGTTCATTGTTAGTACATTGTGTTCCGCCGTTCGGGTTATAAGTTTAGATGATACGAGAATAGGTTCCGTTTCTTCTTTTTCTAGGACCATATCTCTTATTTTGTCGAAATTAATTAGTTGTGAGGTTTTGTATGTTAAAGATATCCCTTTGACTTTACATACAGTTACATCGCATTGTTTAGAACTGGACCACGCCTTGTAGGCATAATTCTTTGGACCACCTGATACAAACTCCTTAATGTAACTTCCGACACCTTCTTCTTCTAACTCGTCAGTCAACTCGCCCAAATACTGCCCTAAGGGTGGTTCGTACTGCCCGGGAGCTGATACGTAGATTATCGAATCCGTATCATAATAGAGAACTCTTTCTTCCAACCTCTCCAAATACTCGTATAGCTTTAAGCGAGCATGGGCCGTAGTGTAAGCGGCAAGAACGACATTTACAGTCGATAAGGGATTATACGTCTCTTCTTTAAATTCCCAGTTTACTAGTAGCGTGTCTTCATTAACTGGTAAAACAGAATTGATATCCATTGAAGGATTGGTCATCATACTATAAAACTCCCCAGGTTGCTTAACTATGGTGGTTTTACTTTGGTTCTCGCGTTGACCGAGTTTACCCCAAAACGATGTAATTACAGCCTTCCCTAATTGTCTCAAACCTGGATTTTTTTCTATTTTATTCGGGTCAAGCGTAACACCTTCCGTCTCAAAGTAATCATTAACATATTTATCCTTCTTCTCAGGAGTATCGCAACCTGATGGCCACCCAGAACTTTGCTGTTTAATACCCAAAAATTTGTTGATATATTCATTAAATAACCCACCGGTTTTACTACGTTTATCGTACTGATCAGTTGCGTACTGCCATATTTCATACGTTTCCAATACTTTGTAACCTTTTTCAATAGCTTTTTTCACTTCATCGATTACCCAGGTACCTGTTAACGACCGCCCATCGTCACTATGTTCACAGTCCCCCTGGTTTAAAGTTTCGGCGCATGTGCGACAAAGTACAAACATCAACTTGTCATTTATTTTCAGAGGTAGGACTGGGTGAAACAGCAAATTTGGTGGTAGTATTTTACATTTAATAAGTCCATCAGTGGTGTCAAGATTTAACTTTTTACATCCTTCCCCAATATGAACTGCTGTAGGGTGCCCTATGGGGTATTTTCCATACTTGTTGACGTATGGATATAGGGAGGTAAAATCAACGTACTTTATTCGTTCATCTCCCTTTGTTATATAAAAGGATTTTGCGTTTCCTGTTCGACCACCATAAAACGCATCTCGCGGGTTGAGTGGTGAATATGACATTACGGGATGCGTTTCTGTATACCTGTACATTTCTTGTGTCATAAGTTGTCGAAAGTCACACTCCCACATTTCGTTAACGCAATAACCCAGCTCTTTTAATCTGTTAGATTTTGCAATTGTAGCTTCATAACGGTATTCGAGCGTCTCCGACGTATTATCTAACAAAGGCTCGTTCCTTGCATACTTGAAGCATCTGGGGCAGCCATGATAGTAACATCCATAGAACTCGAATACATCCTTCGTTTCATCACAATATCCGTCGACTTTTACACCTCCCACTCTTGCCTCCTTCTGCCTACCCGAATGTACTATATTTAATTTGCGATTGCGCTCTTCTAACAATAACCATCGAGTAGCTATGACGGATTGTGTATCACAACGTCTATATCCCCCCTTTGGAATGATGCCGATGGTATTTTGCTTTAAAAACGAACGCCGAAATATTTTGTTACACGCTCCCGGTAACGTGACGCTTTCGGTAAAAGGGCATACGTTCCCTTCCTTTATCATCAACTGTCTAAATTTCAGACACGACTGTGCCAATATATCAACGTCGGATATGCAGTAATCTATAAATTCTTTCCTAAAGTCAAATACGTAGTTTTCTGTCACTTTTCCGGCATGCCAAGCCAATAAGGCCTCCCTTTCGTTGAATTTAAGATTATCAGGGTCGAAAGCCTCTATTGGAGGCATTGGTCCTATATAGTTTTGGTTCCCCGATGTGTTAAACAAGTGCGGAAAATAACCTTTCTTTAGCTCTGTTAGATCGAACACCTTAGGTAGTTTACTAAGAGCCATCGAGAAGTAATTTAGTGAATCTAAAAATCTTACATTATTTAGAAACATTGAGACTAATTTTGTTCCTCTCATTATTAGTTCAGGTGTAAGATCCGTTTGGGTTAAGATATAATTTAATATAAACTGGTGATCGAAACCTCCACCGTTATGGGCCAAAACGATAACGTGCTTGAATCTTTTTCTTAAATTCAAAATGTGTCCCATAAATGTTGATATTACGTCATCAGTCAGTATTTTTTGCCGAAAGCCACACTTTTGACAAAAATAAAGTTTTTCCTCA